TGATAAAAAATATAAAAAACAAATATAAATTAGTAAAAATCAACAAACCCCATCAAATAACCAACTAACCAATGAATTATCACCCTCCAAATAACCACGCTAACCAACCCGCCAAATAACTAAACCAATCCAACCAAAAAGAGTGAAACCAATGCAATAAGATCACGCTATAAGCAAAAAAAATATAAAAAAGTCTTGGTCGGCGTGAGATTTGAACCACGGACCATTCGCTTACGAAGCGATAGCCTCAGCCACTGACCCACAGGTGCTCTTGCAAAATGCATAAGGGTAGGCATTACTTTCTGCCGACAAGAACGACGTCACAATATCTATTAACGGCATTTTAGTAGGCTACCGTTTAACGGCTGTTTTACATCGATGAATGTTAGTGATGGTAGTTAATTAAAGATATTTTTGGCCAGAATATATTTCAAAATTACAATATTATTTTAAAAAATATTTGATTTTACCGTAAAAATTACAGTAGTACTAGTGTTTTTAACTACTTAAATTTTAGTTATTTTTTATACAAGACGATAAAATGATATTTTATCGTCGACCGAAAAGATGAATTAATTTAGGTAGTCGATAATGCAATTTTATCGTCGTGTATAAAATAATATTTTTTTCCATATCGAGTTACGTTATAAAAAATATTCAGAAATTATTATTTCAAGGAATTTATTACGAGTAGAAAAAATATTGTTCTGGGTTGGCGTTGGTTTCTATGTAATTTGACAAATAAATAAAGTTGTCTCTTTAGTTGTCAGTTTTGAGTCAATATTTTTTAATTCTCTTTCGTGTCGATTGCTGATTGAATTGGAGCCAGAAATGGCTCAAAACGAAATAAGTAAATTACCGACAGATATTCAGGCTGAGGCGACAAACGCCATATCCAAACTACTTCCATTTAAATCCCGAATAACTTGTGAAAAGGAATACAAAAATTCTCAAAAATGGAAGCAATTAAAAAACGTGAGAGAAGAAATCTTTGAATAAGAAGACTAAGGAAGGAGCATATCAAAAATCTTAGGTCCACCGCGATGGGCCTCAAATATGGCCGACTTAAATTCCGGTTTATCAGTGCCGTTCTAATTTTATTTAAAAAATGTAAAACTATGATGTAGGGTAGACGTGGGGTAGACGCAATAATATGTTGTTTTATTTGACGTTGTGAATAAATGTTGGTAGTTATTAAAATTGTTACAAAAATATATAATTCTAATAAAAATAGATAAGTTAATTAATTATAATTATTTATTAACACAAACATCCGATACGCTACTGAAGCAGGTAAATCTGGTAAATCAAATTGACGTATCTAAATTCTTTGACTTCTAATCTTTGACAAGTAGTAAATAAAAGCAAAAATGCAAGAAACACTATATAATTAGTTAATTTAAGTGAATTTCATAAATGATCGGTTTACTACACGTATGGATATTATATAGTCACTTACTAGCGAAAAGTTGTTCCATTATTTCACTCCATTTTTGCCGAGATCTACCGCACGCTACACAACCAACTATTTCAGAGTCTTTTTCGATAAATCGCGATAGTGTCACTGTTAATTTAACTTCTGCCACAATTTCCATCTAGATTTACTACCTTTATACAACTATCAGTAGTAGAATAAATAATAAATAACATAAAATAAGCTCCGTAAAGACTGACAAATCCATAAAATTTCAAATCAAATTCAAATGTGTCAAATGAATCGTCAAACAGAACTGTCAAGGATCCCCACCCTAGAGTGCTTTTTCCGCCCACCATGCATGAATACATGGATAGCATTATCATTAAACTATGGCATTATGCTCCTTCCTTAGTCTTCTTATTCAAAGGAAGAAATAAAGTTTTTAACCTATCCTCGCTGTTAAAGTATCATTTAATCTACCCTTGCGGTTAAAGTACTATTTTTGACAGATAAAATGCAATTTTAACAGTTGCTATGTAAACATAGTTATTAAAAAAGGTCTTCTAATATTATTCATATTAGTGTAGAAAGTCAGCAGGAGTCTAAAAACGTACGATTATTTGTGAATAGGTAAATTTTGTAATAATAATATATACAACGGAGTACATATCTTTAAAATTATACTAATGGAAAACAAAACATTAAGATAACAAACGTCAAATTATTTTAAATAATAAATTACCTTGTGCGTTTGTGTAAATGTAGTGTAGGTCGTGCATCCGAATGTTGTTAAACATAAAATTGATAGCACTGGTGTGATCAAAAATATGTTAAACCAGACTGGATTGAGCCAGTATCTCATATTTCAAATGCGATAAACAAAAACGTCAGTTTGTGAAGTTTTATTGAGAATCTTTCTATTATATTTATTAATTGTTTTCTGTGGATAATTTTCATTTTTAAATATGCTGAATAATATCACTACATGACAAGTTTAACGTAAATAATTTTTTTTCATTAATGTGTGGAATCATAATTTAATTATTTTGCATTTATAAGTAGGTACTTCTTAAGTTTATTTTACAAATAGTGTTAAACTGCCTCTACACTATTCACGAAATGTTTTGCGAAATATTTCGTAAAATATTTCGCGAAGCATTTTGCGAAATATTAGGTAAAGCAGCTCAAAGCGGGTGAAGGTCAAATAGTAATTAAAGACAGTTATTCCAAGTTTTCTCCGTCTATCTTTGTCTTGTCCCGGCCTATTTTCATTTCTCCAAAAAAATCCCATATGGGTATTTCGCCACTGCAAGAAAATCTACAAAATAAAATAGTTATTTCTTTGTAAACACTGCTGCGTTAATCCAAACGGAAACTACTTGTCATAAGTTAGGTTTACAGATATACAAATTTTCCTAACGAACAAAAAAATACTTAAAGTTTCGGAAAGTTTATCTCTTTCCGTCGTCGGAAGCAAAAAAAAATACAAAGAATAAAGAAAAAAAACTATTTAAAATATTTAAATGTAACTATTCAAGAACACTAGTTTTTTTTTAAACAGATACGTCTAGAAAAACCGTTGACGTTCTGTTAAAATGACATTATATCAAGTTAAACTTCAAAATTAACAATAATTACTACCTGATAACAATTACTTAATAAGGTAAAACCAAAAAGCCCCAAACTTTCTGTATTATTATTTTAATTTTTACGTATGTTATGTTCTTTAAAATCAAAGAAACGATTGCCATACATTACTAACATCTACAGATGCTTGAGCAATACATTTATTTTTATTAGATTGAATTAAATTGAATGATTCCCCAATTTCACCGTTATTCGCAGAAATATTTATGGCAGATTTTGAAAAGAAGCTATTTAAAAACAAGAGTAGTTTAATATCAAAAATAAATTATTGGGCAAGATATGTAGATGACATTTTTTGTATTTGGTCAGGCACCGAGAGAAATTTAAACAGTTTTTTAACATTATTAAATTCAATTAACCCGAGAATACAATTTACTATTGAAAAGGGTATTAATACCATCAATTTTCTTGATGTTACAATTATAAAACAGTCTAATAGATTACAATTTGATATTTACAGAAAACCCACTACCACAGACACCGTAATACATAGTCAATCACACCAATCCTGGCAAATCAAAATGTCACCCTTTCATAGTTTAATTCATAGATTGGTAATGTTTCCACTGAGCCCAGAGAATTTTAAAAAAGAGTTAAATATTATTAAACAAATCGCCATCAACAAAGGATATAAGTGTTCCCTTATTGATAATATGCTAAAGAAAAAACAAAAGAAAATATTAATGAAAAAATTTTATTCCGCTAATTCTAAAGACAATAACAATTATCGACTTTTAAACTACATTCCTAATTTAACTAACAAAATATTAAATAATCTCAATAAAATAGGATGTAAAATTATTAACGTAAATAAAAGAAATTTAGGTCAAATTTTATTAAATAATAAAGACAAAACTAATGTCAAAAATAAGTCGGGTGTATATAGAGTGGATTGCAATGATTGTGATGCCGTGTACATAGGCCAAACAGGTAGAAATTTAGATATAAGGATTAAAGAACATGTAAAGTCTATTAATAATCTCCAGCAAAGTTCTGGTCTTGCAACTCATTGTATAGTAAATAATCACAAAATTAATGAAAACTCAATTAAGTTACTACACAGAGAAACAAAAGGTAGACGCTTAAATTACATTGAACAGTTAGAAATACTAAAATCTGTTAAAAACGAAAATAATGTTAACGACCAACAAGGATTTCTAAATACATTTTTTATTACCCCTATTGTAAACTCTCAGAACCCACCCCCATAGCAAATATATATATAGTTACAGTGTAGTTAGACGATTAGTTCTTAAAAAACTCTTGAAAAGGCCTAACAAGCCGAAACATATATGTAGAGTTAAAGTTACTCTTATTAAAAGTTTTTTGAAACATCTAAAAGCGTGCTTTATTAAAATACTAATATTTCAACGATGTTTCACAAGGAACCAACCACAGCTTCAGTACAATTTATTAAAAATACTAAATAAAAAAGCCTGTTTTATTTTTCTTTTAGAGGCTATCGCTTCTTTCATTATAATTTTGGCGTTATTAAAATTTATTCTGTGCCCTGTGTCCCATGAATGCTGACAAATCTTAGATTTGTGAAAATCTCCCTTTCTTAAATAATCTTTAATGTTCATTAATTCGAACATTTAAGGGTTTAGATGTTTCACCAATGTAAAATTATCGCATTCGCATGGTATTTTGTACATTACGTTTTTTGTTTGTTGTTCTGTATTCATTGGTTTAGTATGTGATAAAATGGATCTAAGTATGTTATATTGTTTTCATCTTATTTTTTCTGGAAATAGGATTTTTTGGGGAGAAATCTACATCTACATTAAATGAAGGAGTTGGGTGAAAGATCATGTGTTCTACTTGAAAAAATCAACTGCATAAAATATGTGTTTTAAACTGACGAAAAAAAATTCAACACAAACATTTGGCCTTTAGAAAAACGTAAACATTGGCCCGGATTGTAGCCAATAAACAGCGACTACGATAATTTTTTCCGGCTGCCGTGTATAGCCGGTTACGACTACGTAGCGCGGCGTGACGGTGAGGACGAGCAGTCACAAGACTGGAAACGTCACGCACATCGTGCTTTATTCACATCGGATAAATACGATAAATACAACGGCGACTTGTTGGCAAACTGGCATTTGAGCGCCAAACATCGGTAGACCTGAATATCGGGTAGTTCCGAAAAAATATTAGATAATAATAATAGAAGTAGTGTACAGTTAGTTGTCAGTGATTCGATTAATACAGGTGAGTTTTTACTGATTTACTTCAGTACTTAACTTAAGTACTGCTGGATTTTAAATTGTAACTAATATTTTTACCAATCATAACATAAAGACTCCAAACTAAACTTATAATTGAAATTTTTACTAAAACTATATGAAATACATTATATGTATATCATGTGGTACTACTTGGAAATTCGAAATTTATTTTTAAATTTTGTTTAAGTAAATTTTTCTCTACAATCTCTGCATACTATAAAACATACATATAGGTAGCAAAAACCTTTAAATATAGAAGTTTAAGCAGAACCACCAAAAAGATAAATAAAATTAAACAATAAGTGTTTTGAGCGAGACTAGTCTTGGTCTTGTACAATAAGCAAGACCAAGTATGCAAGACTTTAGCAGTCTTGCATTTTTTTCACCGTTTATGACATAATAAATTACTTATTTGCTCAAAATTATTGTTTTAATCAAGGTTTTAGTAATAATAATTACTCTAAAAATTTTATTTGCATTAATTTACTAAAACTACTATTTATTTAAAATAATAATTGTAGTTTGTATGTAGAAAATGGTCTCTATTATCTATTACAAACAAAACATGCAATATGTGTGTGTGTGTGGATCATCTTGTATATTTTATCTTTTCTTTAAATATTGATTTCACTTTCTGGTGGTTCAGGTAAAACCTTACAACTCATATATTATTTAAAAAATTACTACCTTCAATAAGTAAGCCTGCAAGTACTAAATATATGTGAAAACCCTGTAAACTTTTTCTCAGCCGCTCCTGAAAGTTCCACAAATTTCTAAAACATATAAAATAGCATATTTCAAGATTTTGTTAGTCACTGATGTACAATTTCAGCAGTAGCAATCAGAAAACGTAAACTGAAATGGTTAGTTCTTTGAATATACACCGTATTTATAATATATTCCATTCAAAATTTAAAAGGTTTTTAAATATCCAGGTGTTAAAAACGTATTATTGAATTTTTAAGGTAAATATCAAATAATCAGATTGTTTTTAATCACATCTGTAAATAATGACTGTTAACATGTGAATGAGTCAAATTAGCGAGATAAAAGTTTTAAATTTCTACGTGCTAATTGGTGTACTCAAGACCATCACGCGACAATTGTGTTTGTTTATAATAATACCCTAATAATGATAAAAACAGTGCTATTATCATTTTTAACAAGTTACTGTACAAAATCACGAAAAATAATTCCAAAACAAACAGATATTCAAACTGATGACACCAATAAATATCCAAATTGACGTATTAGAGTCCTGTGATATAACCAACTACCCAAAATATCTTTGTGGGTGTGGCCAATGTAATGTTTATGTGTGTTTAAAAAAACAACAAACATCTTGGTGATTTTGGGCACGTTTATATAACAATACGATTCGTGCCAAGCATAAGGTTTCTGGTATAGGATATAAAAAACCTAAATTATGTTCATAGCCAAATTAAATTACATTATTAAGCTTATTTATTACGACTACGTACAACTCAAGTGTACCAAATTCGCCAACACAATTATTTTAATAGAAATGTTACCACAAGATATGTTATTTTGGAATACGCACTTACCGGCACCAAAAACGAACATTTTGATGAATTTTAAAGAAGGGATACTCATTTTTGAGGAAAACAGTAACAATTCACAGCAATTTGACCATAGAGTTAAATAATAAAAAATGAGACCATTATACAAGCATACCTTAGTTTTTGGTACTCATCAAAACACTTATGAAAAATAGTTTACTGTTTCTCTAGTCACTGTCATGAAAAAATAGTATTATATATTGTTTGATGTCAGTTACTCTATGAGAGATGATATTAAGTACAGAAGTTGATCCCTAATATGTTCAATTAAATCAACAAAGATACAAATTCTGTACTTAAAATCATCTCTGCTAGAAAAGCTGCCAAATATTACTAATAACAGAGCTTTTCAATAACAGTGACACAACAAAAAGATGTTGATGGGGACCAAAACATGATATAAATCCAAAAATCCTATATGGGTATTTCGCCACTGAAAGAAAATCTACAAAATAAAATAGTTATTTTTTGTAAACACTTCTGCGTTAATCCAAAACGGAAACTACTTGTCAGAAGTTAGGTTTACAGATATACAAATTTGCCTAACGAACAAAAAAATGCTTAACGTTTCGGAAAGTTTATCTCTTTCCGTCGTCGGTAGCAAAAAAATACAAAGAATAAAGAAAAAACTATTTAAAATACTTAAATTCAACTATTCGAGAACACTAGTTTTTTTAAAAAAGATGCGTCTACAAAAACCGTTGATGTTCTGTTAAAATGACATTATATCCAAGTTAAACTTCAAAATTAACAATTACTTCCTGATAACAATTACTTAATAAGGTTAAACCAAAAAGCCCCAAATTTTATGTACGATTATTTTTAATTTTTACGTAGGTATGTTATGTTTATTTATGTTATGTTCTTTAAAATCAAAGAGGCGATTGCCATACATTACTAACATCTACAGATGAATGAGGAATACATTTATTTTTATTAGATTGCATTAAAAAAGCCTCTTTCATTTTTCTTATAGAGGCTATCGCTTTTTTCATTATAAATTTGGCCTTATTAAAATTTATTCTCTGCCCTGTGTCCCATGAATGCTGACAAATCTTAGATTTGTGAAAATCTCCCATTCTTAAATAAGGTATAGACATTTTTTATGATATAAAAATCTACATGTCTACAATTTATATGTCTTCTACAAAAGCGTATATCTTGAAGTATAAAAGGCTAGCTATACCGGTGAGTTTTTCGGAAAAACTCACCGGTTACCTATTAAACACGTATATTTTATTTTGTTGTTTTACATATTTTAAGATTTTTTATTAATTTATACAGGGTGTTTCATAAAATATGACCATTGAGTAATCACGATTCTGCTTAAACTGCTTGACAATAGCTGATTTTTGGCAAACGGATTGACTGTGGGGTGTAGAGGTTCGATAACGAGGGGTTTATCGAATCTCAAATTCCAAGAGGGTGAAAATGCCCCTAAAATATTACAATATTTGTTATTTAAAAAACGGTTAGTCTTTCGGAAAAACGCTTAGACAAACATAATTTATTTGGTTTTTTTACGTATTTTGAAATTTTTTAAAAAATCATACAGGGTGTTCCAAAAAGTTGGGTAATTTCTTAACCACGATTCTGCTTAAACTGCTTGACGTAAAAAGCTTCTTTTTGGCAAACGGATTTTTCGAAAGTCAAATTCCAACGAGATGAAACTACCCCTCAAATATTACAAAGTTATATAATAATATCGCCATATTGTTTTTTTTCATGCTTTACTTTATCATCACCATTACAAATGATTAATTCGACGCGAACGAAGTCGCTGGTAAACGCTAGTATAAGATAATAAGGCAGATGGAGACTTTCATTTTTAATTTTAAGGGACTAAAATGTCAAATTATTTAGCTATAAATTGCTCAAAAAATTATCAAAACCTGCCCACTAGAACAAAATATATTGAACTTTTAAACACATCAAAATCTTAAGGTGTCTTAAGATCTTTTCTTTATTTATTTAAACAGTGAAAAAGTCATAATAAAACAAAAATGTACGTATTCATTAAAAAAAATATTTATACATAAAATTATTTTTTACATCTATTTTAGTATATCAATGTGAGTACTCTGAACAAAATTTATAATAATAGAAATTTAAGTCTTATACAAATAACGCAATTTATTATAAAATTAATTGACTGTGGGAACTGTTAAATTATTTCACCCGCGGTAATTGTCATTTTTTTATAATTATAACAAAAAATAGTTTAATAATTATTTGCAAAATGGTTCAACTTATGTTAAGGTTGTTTAATATAAAAGGTATTTATATTTTAATGTATAATTTTCTCTCTGATGACACTTATTATTATATTTTAGTTTAATAATATATCTTATCCAACAGCCACTACTTATACAGACATTACTCACATGTATACATGCATATGAAAAGGCGGAATTACATTACTATCACGTCACGTGAATTCACGTGAACACACATGAGCAGTAAATTTGATGAGACCGACGTTATGCATTTATTTTATTAATCAATACATCAAGGGTGAACACATTATTGTCACTTGGGGGATTCATGTGAATCACGTGATATTGCGAGTTGTTTCGCGCTCAAATATTCTGTTTTAACATCAATTTCGGAGGCGTGGAAACATGAGGGTTCGAAAATGGAAGAAATTCTAATAGAAAAAGTGTGTTTACACGAGGTGCTTTATAATAACCGATCAACAAATTACTCTCTTTTCAAATTAATGTCATGAACCCATTGGCTAGTTTTAATATTATCAGCAACTACAAGTAAACCATATGCGTTTTCTAAATCTTCTTCAAACTCAGAAGATGAAGATGAAGAACTATTTATTAGATTCATTATTACGTTAAGTAGAGGAATTAAGTTGTTAAACTTGAGAAGAATGCTGCTGAACGAGCGAGAAATGGCATAATATGAAAGAACGACGTGATACTAATGTGTTTCCTTTAAACCACAGGTGAAATCACTTTTACTGTGATAGCATGTGAACTCCCGTGACGTGACAGTAATGTAATTCCGCCTTTAAATAAATAATAACACACGCGTGAGTTTTTGAAGTTATAACAAACTAGTGTGTTATGAATCATATACGCCACGAGACTTTTCTGGCAGTATTTGTGCTGTCGCCGCTTCTGCCTGGTTAATAATTTCTTGCGGAAGATCTGCTGGTTGATAATTCACTATTTTATCGTTAAAAAATTAAGTAATCAATTAGAAGGTTAATTATAGTATTATTACAATATTCAATAACTTATTAATTTAGGTACTATTAAATTGTTAGAACTTTAGGATTTAAGAAGATGTTCAAATATTCATCCATCGACTGCTAGACAATAACCCAGGCGATCATAAAATTCTTTTCTTACATTCGCTAGTTGGTAAACTGAAATTCTATTGCATTCGG